GTCCCTGCAGAAAGGGGGTACCCGCCGCACCGCTGCCCCCCAGCTGCGGCCCCCCTCCTGTCCCTGCAGAAAGGGGGTACCCGCCGCACCGCTGCTCCCCAGCTGTGGCCCCCCTCCTGTACCTGCAGAAAGGGGGTACCCGCCGCACTGCTGCCCCCCAGCTGCGGCCCCCTGGGCTGGGGCTGCGATGGGGAAGGGAGCAGGCGGGTGCATGCAGAGGCCCCTGGAGCCTCAGGGAGCGGAGAGGAGCTGTCCTTGGCCTTGCAGCCCGGGAGGGGAGCTGGTCCTTACCTGCGGGCTGAGGCCAGGAGAGGGACAGACACACAGACAGGCAGGGGCAGGGAGGAAGCTGGGCTGAGGACAGGGAAGAGGAAGAGGAAGGGGTGGAAGGAAGGAAGGAAGGAAGGAAGGAAGGAAGGAAGGAAGGAAGGAAGGAAGGAAGACAGACCAGCTCTCACCCCCTGGAAATAGTCTCCCCCCAGAACTGAACAGAAAGAAGCAGGAATGGCTGCAGCCCAGCGAGCACTGGAGGGGGAGTCCGGAGGGCGCTTTCCAGCCAGGCCTGCAGAGCTCCAGGGGACCGGGGCCACCTTCCCAGGCCTGGGTGCCTCATCTACCAGGCGAAGGGTCATTCCTTTTGTGGGTTATTCCAGAAGGTTCTGTGGACCTCCCTGGAGGCACCAGGAGGCTGGCAGGTGTGGGGGCTTGGCAGGCGGGAGGCTCCCGTCACACAGAGTCTATGGGAGGAGAGGAAGGAGGAATCTGAGGCCAGACAAGCTCTTAGGTCCCGGACACTCCCGGACGGTCGGTCGGATGGAAAGGACTGTGAAGTTTGCTTCCATCCTCCCACATGCCCTCCTGTCAGCCCAGGATAAACAGCAGGGGGATGGGAGGCCAGCAAGCATCGCCTCTGTTCTGGTTGACCCTGAGGGGAAAGGAAGGCAATGTTGCCTAACGGTTTGGGCTTTGCAGCACAATGATGTGGGTTCGAGCCTCAGGGCTGCTGTTTACCAGCTCTGTGAGCCTGAGCAGATGCCCCGAGGTCTCTGGGCCCCAGCGTCCCCCTCTGGAAGGCAGGCCCCAAAGCCACCCATCTTCCAGGGAGGGTGAAGTCACCCCGTGTGGGTGCTCCACGGGGGCCCAGCACCACGGGGCCCAGCACACTCAGGAGCAGGTATTATTAGCATCTCTGTTTTGCGGATGGAGAAACTGAGGTTCATGTGACTCGTAATTGGCAGAGCTGGGACTAGAACCGCCCCTTCCTGGCTCGCTTTTCTCTGACACCACAGATGGTGCGCGAGGAAACAGGGAAAGGCGAGCAGGGAGAAGGGAATTAGGAGAGCGAGCGAGATGCAGGGAGGCAGCAGCACCGTGATCAATTACTTGAGCTATAAATTTCTGCTGTTTTGCAAAGTGAACACACCTCCTCGGAGAAGCACCGCTCGCTGGGTCTGCTTGGGAAGAACCACACAGCCAAGCTTCCAATGGTGGGAGCGGGAGCGGGAGAGGGGATGAGCTCCAGGACAGGCTCACAGCCCCTGGTGGTGTGGGCAGAGGTCAAGGGCCGGTGGAAAGGAGCTGAGGAGGGGACGGACCCTGGTGGGGGCGGCCTGGGAGCTGCCTGGAGCTCCCTGGGGAGGGAGCTGGCCTCCCCTCCTCCCAGCAGCTTTTCTCCCTCTGCTGCTGCCTGTGGGAAAGCAGTCCCGGGCAGTCCTGTCTGCGACACACACACCTGGCCAGACCCTGACCGCTAGCTTCACAGGTGGTCCTGGGGGCTGCTGGGAGGGGCGCCCGGAACTTCATCTGTAAAATGGGGATGAGTGTCCGGGATCAGAGATGGTGTCCGGGATCAGAAAGATCTAGGATGTAAACGGCTTAGCCTGGGGCCTGGCACACACAGTTTTATTATTAATGTTAGTATTATATGAAGATAACAGAGGCCGAAAGGGTCTGTAAAGGGCTAAAGGTAGTTGGAGATCAATTGAATTATAAGGGGGAGGGTCAGTCCTCCCTCTGATGGACAGTGGTGGGAAGGGTCGCCCACAGTGGGCATATAACTGGCTTGACCTGGCTCAGTCTCCCAGCATGTGGGGGCCTGGAGCAAAGGCCAGGATGAGGCAGCCCAGGCTCCGAGCCCCACCTGGAGCCTGGCCATAGCCCATTGAGGGAAAGAGCCTGGGGGTGGGGAGGCCAGCTTCTCCCTCTGGAATCCAGGTACCCCAGGAAAATGGGATTCCGGGAGCCCCCCTCCAGGGCCTTCCGCGCCGTGGAGTTACAAGGACCACAGCACTGCAGAAGCAGCCGTGTGCTTGTCTTCTGCTGGGCAGGAGGCAACTCAGCAGCAAACCAGCCCAGACCTTGGCATCAAGGAGCTATTTGTCAAGGAGGAAAGCACAAACACCACTCACCCTGAACCCTGGTCTTTGGATCCCAGACAGCAGCCAAAGTAACTGCAGGGGTGGGGGATGGGGGAGACAGGAGGGAACAAGAAAGCTACAGACTGCAGACAGAATGGAATCAGGGAAGCTGGGGCAGAGGGGCCAGAGGGCGAGGGGTGACGCTGTAAACCGGGGTCCCGGAGAAGATGGGTGCAGGTGGGCACCGGGCACAGGGCCAGAAGTGTGGGGTCTCAGGCTGAAGGCAGTGGGGAGCTTGCTATTTTGAAGGAAAATGAAGATGGATTCCTTTAAAACAAAAACAAGCTCCCTGGATGGGGATAATAACAATGTTATTTTAGTTAGGATGGGTTCATGGCTGTACCAAACAGCCTCCAAATAAAAGTGTATTTCTTGCTCATGGTACAGTCCGATGGGCTGGGGGGGTGGGGGAGGGCCCAGGGTCCTGCTCCACACAGTCACTCAGGGGCCCAGGCTCCTTCATCTTGTGGCTCCATCATCTTCTAGGGCCTTATCCTCCTCTGCTATAAACTTGTGGAAGGTGAAAGAGAGAGGGAGGGATGGCATGGAAGGAATTTGTGGACCAAGCTAGAAGGAGAGGAGGCACATCACTTCAGCTCACAGTCCATTGGCCAGAGCACAGTCATGTGGCCATGCCTACCTGCAAGGGACGCTGGGAAATGTAGTCCAGCTGCATGCCCAAGGGGAAAATAAGGAACCAGGGTTTGATGAAAACAAAGCAGTCTCCACCACAAATGCTAACCTCTTTGAGTGGTTGAGCTGTTGCTCTCTAAGCGCCCGGTGTAGGGCCTGGCCACTGATGTGTGTGCCACGGCTGGTTCTCTGTCCTAAAACCGTGGGGCAGCTCACGGAGGCCATCAGGATGGGCGTCGAAAGGCTCTTCCTAGCCCTCCTCCTGAAACTATACATGGAAGTGTGTCGGGGGGTGGGGGTGTTGAGAGAGAGGCGAGACATGGATAGAGAGATGTATTTGGTCGAGGGAGAGCATCCATAGCTTTCACCAGATCCTCAAAAACTTGAGGCATAACAGCTTAAAAAGAGGTGGACCCCTGTCCCATCAAAGCCAGGGCTTGGCTTTGTGCAAAGTCGACTTAGCAAGGCCTTGGTACAGAGTCCCTTGAGCCTTATGGCCCCATTACCCACAGCAGGAGGTAGAGCTAAGGATTCCCCAGCCACCACCCCACCTCCCCCACCAAACAGGTCCCAGAGACCCTGTCAGGGCAGAGAAGGCCCCAGCTGGTCCATGAGGTCCCAGCCAGCTGCAGAGAACAAGGCAGCCAGAGGGCCTGAAGTGCCTGCCCTCGGAGGCATGCAGGTGGAGAAATCGAGGCCCAGAGAGGGGCCATGTTGCCCAGGGTCACACAGTGAATCTGGACAGAGCCAGGATCCACATTCAAATCTAGTCACTCAGGTTTCAGCAATAGAAGGGGGCTGTGTGCCTTGAGCAGAAAAGGGCTTCATCCCAGACGGAGGGGAGAGCAGCCAGGCCCCAGCAGGGACGCGGCCAGGCATCCTGGAGAGCAGGGGACGCGCTGTGACTACGCTCGGGGACTGGCCACGCAGCCAGGACACAGGCCCATCCCTTGGCGAGGAAGGACAGCGGCATCTGGACTGACAGCCCCCTGCCCGGGCTGCACACGTGGGGCAAATTCCCTGTGAGGCAACTGGGGGGCTTCTGCCAGAAATGGGGGTGGTGCGGGGCCAGCCAACACAGCAGATGTCTGCCTGGCCTCTGCACCAGGATTGTGCAATCAAAACAAAACAACCACGGGCTGGTTTCCTGTAGCCCAGGGCCGCTGCCTAACCAGGGAGTCCAGCTCAGAGCACAGCCGCGAGGCCAGGAGAGCAGGCACTCAGCAAACCTGTGCTCCGAGCTCCGCCGGTTCCCGCAGGAGGGCGGCGAGCAGCTGGGTGGCTCCACACCAGGCTGGGCTCCCGTGGGGCTTGCCAGGCGGTTAGAGACTTGCCAAGCAAGGGACACAAAGGCCAGCCGAGGGTCTACGGGAGAACTCATCGCAGGAAAGCGGGGAGGGCTGCCGACCTCACCCCACCCCCAGCGGAGGCCACGGGCTGAGAGCGGGTGCTGGACCTGGAAGGAGCCAGAAACCACAGACAGAGGAGGGCTGACGTGATGGTCAGGGTCAGCCTGCGAGGCTTTGGTCCCCGTGCTCCAATCAAACCCT